TCATTTACATATATTCTGGTTCAGGATTAACGGACCGTTTTTCTTCGATGTTTGGCTTATGTGTCTCTGTCTGCATCCCTCTTATGAGGCTGTTCCAGTTAGTGGCGATTCTCCCAGCGTTGAATTTGGTTCATCTTCCCAATTCAACGATCCTGCTTTATTCCTCTCTTGCTCTGTTCAGGAGCAGCTTAGCTCATTTCCTGTTGATCGCACCGACCTCTTCCTTTTGCAACTAGCCTGCCTTCTAGCCAGGGCCCCCGATTGGCGGCGACGGCGACCTCGTGTGCGTGTCTTCTTGCCTATACCATCAAACCGTCTGTCGAACTCAAGCATTTTTGGCGAATCCCGCGCAGCGAGTTTCTCGTATCCTACGATCAACGAAGCAGACACCAAGGATGCAGTATATAACTGCTTAAAGAAGCAACTTACTGCCTTACTCTCGGACCTGAGGATTCCCGTCAGCTTATTTCTATTTTTCTGCTATTTTGTTTATATCTATGGCTCTGACAATTTTGTGATTATTTTGCGAAACCTAGCTTTTCTATATTAGTTTGCTTGTCCATTCGTTTTCCTAAAGAGCTTTTAATTGACTATTTTCGACTTGTGCAAGGTCTCGGACATTAAGTGTCACATACTTTGCTAAGGACTTTATGATGGAGACAACGAAACTATGCCTCTTAAAATACTCTCAAGTGGGACAGTTTTTTTAATTTGGAGAATTAATGGTCAATTAATTATCACCACTAGTGAATATACTCCAGAGGAACAGTGCTTTTGAGTAGGGCAAGTAGGTAAACTACCTCATTCGGTTCCTAACTTTTTCAAGGCAGTTGGACACTAGAGCAATCGATGAAGAATTAATACTTTTTCCTTTATTTTCTTTTTTTTTTCTAATTTTTTGACTTATAGGTCAGTGTGGTGCAAAGTTTTTTATTCTTCCACTTATGTTTGTGTAGGGGAGACCTGTTGGCCCAGCTAAAAAGAGTTATCTAAACGCAAAGCTGTCTACAAATTATATGGGTTCAAAATCTTAACTTGCTTAATTCATGTTTGTTATCGAATACCAAATAGAAGAATGGTATAAAATTCAACTTTTTCCTGGATTTAGAGGCTTTGTTTCAGAGTGTAAGAGCTGAGATTCCATTGAAAAATACAGAACAGTCTGAATTTAAGGAACAACTTTATGAAATCAACTGGTAGTTTCTTGTGACTGTTTGATAGGCTTAGGAGAAAGGGAGCAGGAAGAACCACCGAACAACAGTAAGAGACTAGATTATCCTTAGCTCTGGTTAGAGTTCTCGCATCTCACATGAATTTTTCATTGCATGCATACAACACGTGAAAAAGCACTTAAATATATAAATCAACGTCGCAGGATAAAAAATGTGAATGGTTTTTATGAGGAAATTACGCCTCAATCACTACACATGTCTTCCAAAGGCACATCTGTTTGCATGTTGGGGTAGAGCGAAACAAAATGGAGTAGGAGGTCTTTTATTCGGCCACTTAGCTTAGCATGGATTTATTGGGGTCGCCGGACGGTGCGCAGAGGCCTTCTTCGCCCAACTAAACAGCTAAAACTGCAAGGAAATCCATCTGTTTCCGATGAACGCATTTCACGAGCCATTTTAAACAACTTTTCTTTCGGAAGTTAAAGTCCATTGTGATGTTATAATCATGGGATTCTTTGGAGCCTAGCTTTTATTCATAAGGCAAATTGGCATTTGTCTTACATTCTATAACATTAGTTTGTGTATAGTCAGTAGGTTTCTGAACTAGCAATAGGTCTTAAATACTTTATCCTTCGTTTACCTTGATTTATAGTTAGATGATGATAAACGATTGAGCCTATTGGAAGTCAAGGCTCGGTGAAAGTCATTGACTTCATTGGGACCACTAATTCCGTTTTGATAAATTCATCTATTATTCCTTTATATCGCTTCATTTTATCCTTAGCACTTCCGAGTATATTAAATTTGAAAGTAAATTTGTAATTCAGACCGCCTAACCATAGGCTGATTGAGCCACACTACAATAACGAATATTTTAAAGGAGCAGCAATTGATCGAAGTGAAATGGGAGGAGGTTTACATTTAAAGTCAGTGCCATTAGACAATTGCAAAAGTGTATTTTTTCCGAAAGCACATATACTTTTTACACAGTTCAAGTACGCGCGAATGACTGAGATCGAGGGCCCCAAATTCGCAGCGTAGATCAAGTTTTACATAACTCAAAATCTATTAATATCTCTTCTATCCTCTCCTCTGCATTGCAATTGATATTCAAGTTACCAGGGCGGTCTTAAACAAATCTGCGAATAGAATAATAGTAGCCGTCATAAAACAATGGCTACAAATTTAGTCTTTAATTTTGTTAAGCAACTCGGTCATATTGGTAGGAAGACTTAGAGGTACGCACCTAGTCTGGAGTCCATTGTATGCAACATCATTTCCAGAGTAGGACCGTGGACGTGGTACATTCCCAGACGTTTCGCCGGCATCGTCAGTGAGTCCCGCCATTTTTAGCACCATATAACAACTCGTCAAAGAGACAAGTGAAGCACATACTTTGACCAAATGTATGCTAAACATACGAAGAAAAGTTGGGCTTCC